AGGGTATAATGGTAAATTTGACGAAAAAAAGTAACACCGTCAGTAGTAAAGTGACGGTGTTAACATCAAAGGGAGAGTGTGCAGGCAGATATATAATAGGAGGGGGTTTGGCGCAATTTTTAAAATACAGAGGGATAACGCGCAGATTTCGTATAATACATGGGGGTTTGGTGCAATTTACCCTTGAATGTCTAAACTTCGTTGGTTGATGTTATGAAATTCTGAATCTGCGGGGGATGTGAAATATTCTTGTTTTATCTAGTAAAGTTAGTATCCAAAAACATATTGCGCTTTTCAGTGTTATTTTCTCATATCATGTTATATAACATTAATACCAATCCTGCGGCTAAAAGATATTCATTAAATAATATTTATAAATTAAAAATATAAGATCTATATATAATATAATTTATCAATATTAATTTATTAATAACATTACAATAATTTAAATTATGCAAAATTACATAAAACATGTCTATGTGAAATTTATTTATATCAAAATAAGTATCATTTTAAATTTTTTATTCATTAAAAACCCGACGTGGGGATAAAAAAGATTCAAAATTGTTTGCCTGCTCAAGCAAGTTGATTGGTGGATATAATGTCATGTTAGAGCTTGACATCTATATATATATAATTACTAGCTAATCCTATTTAATAAAACATTTAATAAAAACATTTTCACTTTCCCTCCAAAAGGAGTTACATTTTTTTTAATTAATTACTCATTAATCCCATATTTAAGAAAGTTTTTTTAGTTAAACCTAATTAGTTAATGGCTAAATTAAAAAAAAAAAATAGTTAATCCCACATTTATGTTTCTTATTCTCATTTATATATATAAACGTGGCAATCATTATTGTTGTGCAGAAACTATATATTATTATTTTTTTATTCCATTATGAATTGAATAAGGTAACTAAAGTTACAAAAAATATTAATAAATGTAATAAATACAAACATTATAATACAAATCATGTTACATTACAATATAAAAAATAAAATTATTTTTTTTTTTTGTAATTTAATTTTCAGCCATAGTCCATCAAACATATAGCTGCAAAATGATAAGAAATATTAGTTTCATAATTAAAATAAAAATTTAGCTCCCCCAAATGGTAAAACCTTATAAATTAGTAGTATAGATACATTTAAATGACATATAATTTATAAAGTTAGACTATCCGCATAAGTTAATAAAAAAATAATGAAGTAAATAAACAAATTAACAGTCTATATAATTATTATAGCAAAGTCTATATTGTTAATATTATTATTTAAAAAGTTTATAGAAAAAATATATGTTTAAAAAAAATTCATATGATCATAAGTAATAGTGAAAATTTAACTATCTTTGACTTTCCATTTGGTAGTAATAATAAAATATTTTATATTACTACTATTCAATAAAATGCATGATTTCTGCAGATTTGATTATCGCAATCAACATTCTGTTTTATTAATTAAAAAGAATATAAAATGCATGATTTCTGCAGATTTGATTATCGTAATCAACATTTTGTTTTATTAATAAAAAAGTGTGTTGATTAAATTGTCTCATATTTTTCATTAAAAAAACACTGTTGGCCGCAAAAAAAAAAAAAAAATATATATATATTTCACAATTATAAATATAAATATGATTAATTTTCATTAAACAATTCCTCTTTAAGAAAAAAATGGCGGGGCAAATTTCTGCAACATAAAGGTCATATTAAATGGAAATTGTCAAAGTCAAAGAATGAGGATTGACAAGACATTGTATGTAATGGAAGATTGTTGTATAATATAGAAATATCAAGTATAATTAATAATCCACAAAAAAAGTCAAATCTATGAAAAAATCAAAATTAAAAACACAACAAATTATGTGGAACATTATTGGACACTATACAATATAGAAAGAAAAATAATTTGATTTCCCTATCATTATCAACACACTCAACTTTTACCAAGACATCTGCCTTTATATTAAAATCAATTTTTTGCGTAAAAGTTTTAAAAATAAAAATTCCTACATATTCTTTTAAACATTAAACAAGAAATTCCTAATATGCAATAAATATATGTAAACAAATTTGTTATAGACTTACCTAATATTTCTAATTTTGAACAAAATACTAAAAATTTTGAAGAACTTCGGCAAAAGACTTTGAACAACTTCGAAAAGCGATTTTGAACAAGTGTTAGCAAAGCTTCACTTATTGATATGATGAGAAAGATGAGAAAGAATTGAACTATTTAGTGTTCAAAATCTGAACAAAATACATAAAAGTTACATATGTATGTTATAAACATATATGAACATATATGTTATAAACTTACCTATACATTTGTTAGCAGAGCTAAACAGATCTGTTAGAAACTTACCCATTTTTCAAACGTTGAACCAAATACATATAAGTTTAAAAATGTTCGACCAATGTCATGTTCTCTTCGAAAAATGATATCGAAAAACATCTAAATAATTTCGAATTATGTATAAAATATGATATATCTTTGAAACTTATTCAAAAAGAATTTTGAAAAACGACACACATAATTGAAAATAATAAAAAATAAAAATTATGTTTAACAAATAAAATTCAGCTCTTCATAGATTTGTAATATTATCGCCCAATTTTGACCGACCTGTTAATATTTAGCAATACAGATTAAGAAATCGGGACGAATATTTATGTTTCAATCACTACTGTTGGCTACAAAAACAACATTTCTCGGTTTTTTTTAGCCTTTACTGGGAGAAAATCTTCGGTAAAACATTTATTTTGTATTGAATCTCGCCGAGTTTGTCGTAAGATCGGGTTAAGGATTAGGGTTTCAGACATAGTGAATAACAAAGGAAGTGCCGACATCAAACAAAAAAATTGGCTTACATCACTCAAGGAGTATATCTCTATTTATAGTCATGTTATCATTGACCTGAATATATTTCTTTATGGCCCAACAATTGCCATTTTGTTCAAATGTCTTTAATATTTGGCACATATCTTTATTTATCAACCAAATACAATTATTTATTTTGTAATATTTTGCTGGTATTTTTATAACATTTTTTTTATAAAAAATTTCCTATATGATATATAGTACAAAATACAATAATTATTTAAAAAAAATAAAATCATTATATGTCTTAATTTGAAGATAGTGATTTGTAGTGATGGAGATTTTGTTGATAGAAAAACCACAAACGTTGTATATAAAGAATTGTTTAAAAATATTTAGTTATTTTTTAGAACATTTTTCCATTGATAATATTATGATTTTTACTATTGTTTATATCTTTTTAATATTTTTGTTCTATTATAATGCTTTCCGTGCAAATGCACGGGTTAAAAACTAGTATTAACTAAATACAAGTTCGGTTCATTTGTAAATACAAATGAACGATAAATGTGCTTGCTGAGTTCGATTCTTATGTTATTGAACTATTGACGAGTCAAATACGAGTTCTTAATAAGTTGAGGTAAATAATGAATTTACAAAATTATGTTAAAAAAACTATATTATAAAAGCCTAACAAATCTTTAACAATAACACAAATTATAGTGTGAAGTAGTCTAATATTCATCCCATTTTTAAATAAAGATGAATATTTATACTTTCAAATGTTATATGCTTCTATTTGTGTTGTATTTTAAATTATGACATTTTATGAAATAAGTGAATGTTTATAAAATGATTATGTCGGCCTTAGATCAGCATTACCGAACGTAGATTGCTTTCCTTAATAGTGTTGGCAACCAACATAATTCATCGACTTCGAAATGACCGGTGTTGTCGAAGATCCCACATGGAGTTTGACGTTGGCATAACCGTCCTTGCCAGAATGAGTGCAGAGGATGATGCGCTCTCGACCTCCTTGGACATCTCGAAATTCGAATGTAATGCTCGCCTCTCCGACTGAACCTAGGACGAACCTTCGGCTTTGATACCACTTGTTGGAGTAAAACAAAAAGCGCAGCGGACAAATATACACATACAACAAATATGACAAGCACTATTACTAATGAAAATAAGCCAAACACATTAATAAAAGATGAGAAAGAAAAAAAAGAATACATAAATTGATAACGGAGTTTGACTAATATTGCTTACGTCTCTGGGCATCGCCAACTGCAACGCCAAATTTACTAACACACCAACAAAATACAATTACTAGGGTAAATAACTCACATATTAAGATTTTCTTAATTAAAGATTTCTTTCTAAGATATGAAAGAATAGAATAAGGTGCAGTCTAACCCAAATAGGAGGAATCTATTTATACTAAAAAGATTATACACTGATAATATTCATATGTCCATTCAGATTCCTATATCACCTCACACAACTGAGGAATGCTCCCCTACCCACGGTGGGCACATGTTAATATCCTCACCGCTTATGTGTCATACACACATTACATTGGTGATGTATTTTTTTAAACATATTAGCATCACCAATGTGTGCATGACACGTAAGTGGTGGACATATTAACACGTGTCCACCGTAGATAGGGGAGCATTAACTACTCTTCGATAAGAATTTATAGGACTTTGAAACGGTTATTATGACGGGTTTTTGGAAATTCAAGAGGCCATTGATAGCTATAAATCCTAGAATTTTGAAAGCCTCCACGATTTATTATTGGGACCTATTTATACAATACAAGATTGCATGCATTTGTATTTACAGTATTATTATATAATTGCATTTTTGAGTCCACATTTTGAATCCCAAATAGACTGCACTTTTTTAAGATGGTCCTCTTTTTTCCATCTTCTTCATCACTGTTGATTTCTTTTTTATTATTTTAATTCTTAAAGTCCTTAATAATATGTATTTATGTACAACTGTGCAGGGAAACGAGTACAGGAGCTCAGGTGCTGCAGAGATATCCGTAAGGTCGTGGGGGGGTCAATTTGGAAATCCTTGGAATTGGAGGGCTGAATCTGGAATAACTCAAATTAGTATCAGTCATGGCGAAATAATCGACTCCATCGTGTTCAAAGGCCATGACGAGGCTACCTCCAAAAGGTTTGGAGGAAATGGCGGTGATAAAACCGACACCGTAAGTGCGAATGTATATATAAAATAACAATGTTTTTAATAAATATTAAATAACGAGCTTTAATTTATTCAAATTTTTAGGTGAGACGGCCTAATTAGGCATGTCGGACATGTTATACTCTTTTATATTATTAAATGTTATATGTATGTTTATATTGTTTCTTAAAGTATGATATTTTATTGTGATGAAAATATGCACGTTTATGTTACACTAATTTTGAAACGTACGTTTTAGATTGATATTGACTATCCGTACGAGTTTGTGACGGGCATAAGTGGGACCATGGGACATTTTTACGACAAGGGGAAAGTAGTGACTTCCCTCAAAATAAACACGAATCGCTGCAAATACGGACATTTTGGGAAGGAAAGTGGCACGCCGTTTAGCTTCAATGCCGAGAATGGAGTGATCATAGGGTTTCATGGCCGAGCGAACACCTACATGAACGTCATTGGCGTATACCTTAGGAAAATTATGTTACCAATGGAGTCGGACATTGCTGAAATCCCTTTGAAACAGTTTGATCGAGAATATGAAATAGTTTGAATAACCGATGTGGGAATGAAAAAAGATGAAAATTGTGTGTTTGCTTGGAAAAAAATTTCATGTGCATTTTTTTTTT